AACACTATCCAGATACATGTTTATGGATATACTATATCTCATTTATACCAATAAAAATCTACTAAAAAGATTAAAATTTAGAAGGAAATACAGAGATAGCTTCTGAATGACAGGATTATAGACTTTTTTTTTTAACTGTTTGGGGGTTTTGTACAGCCCTGAGAATTTTAATCAATGTCACTAAATTATACAAATAGAAATAATAGTATATATTGTGCTTTCTATATTTGATGTTTGGTTGTTTTGCACATTTTTTAAAAAGACTTACTTTAAAACAAAAGAATAGAATATGCCACATCTTAACAGAAAATGCAAAGTGATCCTCCAATGTTTGGCTTTTGTCCACAGGTTTGGGCATTGCTGACATCACACAACAAAGGTTACATCTATTAGAACTTAAAAATTCACACATGGCTAAGTTACCAATTATTAAAAGTTTATAAGCAATATGGAATGACTCCTATCACCAAACTCTTTATTTTATTAAAAATGTGGTCTTGGGTAACTAAATATAGGTCAGTAATATTGTTCTAAAAAAAAAAGTAAAATAAAGGATACCAGAAATGTGTGTGTGCGCACGCACTCTTACTCTCTCTCTCACACACACACACACACACACACACACACACTACTTATAAACAAGGTGTATTACTAGAAAATATTTCTACTTTTAAAAAAAACCCTAGTATAAGTCACAATGTAACAAAGAACAATTGGGACTGCTTCATTTTCTACAAAAATCTCTGTAACACTTACACTAATAATAGTATCACTATTAGTCATCATCAGTATTAGACAATTTCATTGCTACTGAAGATTCTAAGTCTTAACTAAGTTATATGCAAAGAAAATTCAAATTCATTTTAGCAGTTCACTGTTTTTTAAAGACAAAGAAAAGTCTACTTTAATCATCACTTAGTCCATCAACAAGTCTACAGATCTGTAATTGGTCCTCCTTAACCTCAAGAGCCTCCCAACAGCCACAGATAATTAAATATGGAAGGCAAAGTGATAGGAGTTATACATGGCTGTTTACAAAAGGCGGGACAGGTTAGGAAAGAGCTCTGGAAGACTGTGTGACTTGAGCCCACAGATAAACAGAGGAAGTTGGCCAGCTTAAAGTGTAGATGAATAGCAAGGCCAACTAGTACTTCTCCAGACTGACGAGCTCCCAAATGGCAAATGTTTGATGGAGTCCTGCAGCGGGAACTGTAGTTTATGATAATCCATAGGTAATCCATAGGTAATCAACAAAGTGAAACACCCATACTAAAGGAGAAAATGTCAGAAGACTTCCACTGACGAGGTGGCGGTGTTGTATTGTATTATCAAGTCAGAACCAGCCCACAGCTGAGACCACATCGGGTTTTTTCAGAGACAGGGGGTTGCCAATCCTCACCGAGGAGCAGCTGGTGGTTTTGAACTGTGTGCCTTTGGGATTGCAGCGCAGCTTTTTATCACTAGGGCACCAGAGCTCCAGCTGACCAGGTGAGCAGGTAGAAAGTGATAGATGGATATGTGGCATGGAGAATGCATAGTAATACACAGGGAGAGAAACATATGTCAGCTTTACTTTAAGCCTGCTAGTTCAATATAGCAAAGCAAGAAGCCTGTGAACAACTCTACAGACTGTTTCATCTCCTTTAACTGCTATGCAATTTCAGGTAAAAAAGGTCAACAAAGCAACTGGGTTTGGGATAGAAAACACGATCTTATTCTTTAAAGAAAACATGGCTTATCACAAGTAAACTGTACTATTCTGAAGGCTGTAGTTTGGAGGCTCTTAGATTTCAATCAAGTTCTGTCACTTACTTAGCCTCAGTTGCTTTATCTGTGAACAGTGAACAGGGATACCAACACATCTGAGCTGCTCTGCAGATATTAAGAGTTCTTTATATGGCACAATGTTTCAAAAAAATGGAAGCTAACACTGTTTCCACAAAACAAGAAGCAATATGCCAGGAAAAAAGAAATTAAACTACTGAAACATCTTTAAGCTTTGTTTTTGTTATGTGCCATCGAGTTGGAACGGACTCATAGCTGACACTTCAGAGGGTTTTCAGAGGCTGTAAACTGCCCAGGAGATTGTCTAGGAGTCTCCCACAGAGTACTTTGTGGATTTGAACCACATGCCTTTAAGACTGCAGAGCACCTTCTCACCATTAGGCCACCAGAGCTTCCTTCTTTAAGCTCAAAGGTGCATTAAAAATGCAGATTGAAAATGCAGATTTCTAGGGCTAACTCCTTTTAAGGAGGTATGGTGACCTAGCGGAAAGAAACTGTGCTGCCAAACCAAAGGTGCACAGCTCATATCCATCAGTTGTATCATGGGAGAAAAACAGGTGATCTCCCCCTATGTGGTTTACTGCCTCTGAAAACCTGACGGAGGGTCAGTTATGTGTTGGTTCTGATTCAATGATACACAAAGTAAAATTCAAGTGTTTTCTGGGCCAAGCAGCAAGAATCAATCACATAACCATCACAAGAAGTGGTGGTGGAAGTGATGAGAAGTCTGGGTTTTT